AAGAATGATCGCAAATGCGAAGAAGGCCTGGGCAGGCCCTGATCGCAAATGCGAAGAAAGCAGATTTCTGAAGGGTTCGCAATTGCGAACCCTGGTCACAATTGCAACATCTACAACCTGTTAAATCATAACTTAGACGCATTTTCGGCTATTTTTCAACCCTTTTCAAAACATAAACACCTTTGGGAGATTTTCAAAGACAAGTACTCTTCCAAATCGATTGTAAGTCATTTCTAACTTGTTTTCATTAATCTTTAACATCTTTTCACATGATTTCAACTCAAAATCAAGGGTTTTCATGGGGGAATTGGGTGTTTTGGATAAAACTTAGGTTTTTCAAATTTTGGGGATTTGGACCTCGGGTTTTGACCATGTGGGTCCGGGGTCGATTTTTGAGTTTTTGGGTAAATCATTGGAAAACTAATTTTCATGCATTAGAATTGATGCATTTAGCATTTATTGATATAGTTAAGTAACTTGCGGCTAGATACGAGCGAATTGGTGGTAGAATCAATAGGTAAAACGGTAGTTGAGGCTTGAATTATGTTTGTGACATCAACGTAAGTGTTTGGTCTAACCTTAGCTTGAGGGATTAGGAGTTGTATCCTATTTGCTATGTGTTAGTTGTTGAGTATGACGTATAGGCATGGTGACGAGTATCTATACGTTGGTGTCAAGCATGCCCGTGAGTCTTATACTATGATTAATGTGATCTGTTTGTATTGTTCATGCCTTATGTGATGATTTCTATTGTTGAGCAAGGGTTGTGGAAGTAATATTGGTATTTGAACATTGAAGAGCGTTGACTCAAGTTGTAAAATGATTTGTGGAAGTACAATTGGCAATTGAACATTATAGAGCATTGGCTCAAATTGTGAATTGAGTTGTGAAGTAAATGTGAAAAGAAAAGAGGATTACGATATTGTCTCCCTTGCCGGGATGTTGTTGTTTTAAAGTTATCTCCCTTGCCGGGATGTTATTGTTTTGATATTATTTTTCCTTGCCGGGATATGATTGTTGTACTATTGTTCCCTTGCCGGGATTTTGTTGTGATTTAATTGATTCCCTTGCCCTTATTTCTTTGTGATTGTTGTTTTGGTAAGGAATAGTGTTAAAGCACGAAGGGTGATGTCGTGCATGATTTTTGTGAGAGAGTGTTAAAGCACGAAGGGTGATGTTGTGTATGATATTTGTGAGAGAGTGTTAATGCACGAAGGGTGATGTCATGCTGCACGATGTACAATTCTGTGCCTTTATATGAGTGATAATGCACAAAAGATCATTCCGTGCCATAATTATGTGAGGTAAAAGCACAAAGGGTAATGACGTGTCAATTTTATTGATTTTATGGTGAGGACGAGAGTAAAAGCACGAAGGGTGATGCCGTGCACGTGTCTTTGATTTTCCCGATTTCCATTTATAATTGAGTTATGGTGTTCTTTACATTTAACTGTTCTTCTTCTATTACTTGATGTTCGTCGCAGCATGTTTCCCCCTCCTATCCTTAATTGTAAATTTCTGTCTTTATTTTCCGTTGTATATGATTTAACTGCACAGGTTTAATTGGTAGTCTGGTCCTAGCCTGTCACTACTTCGCCGAGGTTAGGCTAGGCACTTACCAGCACATGAGGTCGGTTGTGCTGATACTACACTTTACACTGTGTGCAGATCCCAGTGCAGCAACTTTCGGACCTTAGCTTTGGGTTGCTGCCTTCAGTCCATTCGGAGATCCGAGGTAGTCTTGTAGGCGTCCGCAGGCCCTAGCGTCTCCTTCTATCCTTTCATCATGTTTCATTTATGTATTTCCGACATAGCGTTGTATTTATTTTTCGGACCCTTATTTGTAATATTCCTAGACCGTCTGTGAAATTGTGACACCAGTTCTAGGTAGTTTATGTTTAAGGATTTGTATTGGTAATATTTAAATGGTTATATCCTGTTATTCTGCTTATTAAATTCTGTTGTTTACATAATATTGGTTCTAAATTGTTAAAGGATTAAAATGGGAAAAAGGTAAATAATACAAATGGTTGGCTTGCCTAGCTTTCATGAATAGGCGCCATCACGACTCCCGAGGGTGGGAAATCCGGATCGTGACATATATATTTTTCGAAAAATTCAGCATTATCTAATTCTACAACCGTATTATTATGAATGTCGGAATTTTTTGATTTATGAACCAGAAATTGATATGTTTTACTATTTGTTGCATATCCTATGAAACATAATAACGGTTTTCGGTCCTATCTTTATTCTTTGGGGTTTAGGAACTTGCACTTTTGCCAAACACCCTCACACTTTAAAATAATTAAAGTTGGGCTTCCTTCCTTTCTATTTTTCATTTGGAATGGATTGTGTTTTACTATGGGGCATTCGATTTAATACCCAGTTAGCTGTAAGAATAACTCCCCCCCACAAGTTCTATGGCAAACCAAAAGTTATCAACAGAGCATTCATCATTTCTTTTAATGATCGTATCACGACCCAAACTGATGAGCCACGACGGGCACCCGGTACGTTAATCAATCGAGTACCAACACAATGTATCTTTCTTATTACATCATCATAGGTAAGTGGGCTAGAAGGGGCGTCATGAGATAACCAGAGTAAACATGAGGGAACACTCGACATAAAATGACCCATACTGATATACTGACTTATACATATGACATACGGGCCTATAAGGCCAAAATAATCACGCATACACTGAACATAGGCTGACAAGGCCATACAATATTTCATATACATGACATATGTCTATAAGTCTCTAAGAGTAATAAACGTTATAAGGCCGGGACAGGGCCCCGACATACCAATTAATACATGTCTAAATCATACTGACCAAATAAGCAACTCCGGAGCAAATGGAGCGCACAAACATCTTCCGCTGAGCTGATAGCCTACTTGGAGGACTCTCACCCTGTCTATCAGGACCTGCGGGGCAAAAGAAACATCAGTACAAATAATGTACCGAGTATGTAAGGAATGAAAATCAGTAAACAATAGACATGAAAGAAACATGAAGCAAAAGACTCAACATGTATATCTGAATATCTCTGTGAATCATTTAATATTGTAATGTCATGCATATACGTATAAATGTCATACCATGCATGGGTATATGCGTTCATAACATCATCAAGCCTCTGAGGGCATCCCATCATATCATCTCGGCCACTATGCACAAATCATCAACGTATACTAGCTGATCATGTGGTGTTACGTATATAACGCCGTAAACTTTTCCCATATCCAATATAAATATATATACATATATACGTGTATATAACGCCATGTAGTTATGGGTCAATATAAATGAAATCAATGCATGAGAAGTACATCAATAAAATATATCGGAGTATCATAAGACCATTATGCCTTTGATTAATATCATGAAATAAACTTTATCAAATTACGTATTTTCTAAAACCTACGAACAGATGATAGAATAATAGGACACATGAGAAATCAAGAACATATGCATCTCTAGTATTTCTATGAATAGAGTCATTTATGGAAGTTGTGCATTTGCTCGTTTTGTTTGTGTCGCATAGATCATGCCAAAAAGAAAGAAGGGATAGCCTTAACATACTTGAACCGATTCTCTTGACAATCCCTTTAACAGCCACTGATTGCGACAACATGTAACGACGGATCAAAATAGGGGAAATCCGTATGATATTATTGAGAAAGATTATACCGTGCTCCCTTAGAATCATAAAATCCCGTTGATACTACGCTAAGTCTCATATGAATTCTTGTTGAAGTGATTCACGTTACTAGTGAAAAGTATGATATTTGTTGAAGCATTCCATAGCAGATCCGCAAGAAACTTCCTAAAAATGAATGAATAGCTTTAGAAAGGTCCCTTTTTATAGTGGTGTGGGCCTCACTTAATAATGCTTACTTTAGCCACTCAAATCTCTTAAAATGCCATCTAATAATGTAAGTAAAGAGTCACCAAACATGGCTTGAGTTGCTGCCAAGTTGGGGTTACCAAGTTTATCCAATAATTCTCTAATTTCCATAATTAACTTATTAAATCCCTCACTAATCCAATAATTAACCAATTATCCACATAATTAAGAATTATCTCAATTTACTTAAAATACTATTCACTTTTAACACACTTTATACATCTTGCTATTATGGTCATGTAGTACCTTGTATGGTACTAGTCCATAAATATGGGGTATTATAGCTTGGACCGTATTTTATCCCAAAATAATCTCATTTTTGAACTTACGTTGATTAACTTACGACGAAACTTTAATGTACGAAAATGCGGAAGGTAATATCTCATTTACGAGCTTATATCAATTTACTTATGGCGTACTTCCATGTATGAAAACATGGGGTGTAACAGATCTATTCTTTCTTTTCCCAATCCCATTGGATTGGGGCGTGTAAGGGGCCGTTGTTTGATAAATAATTCCATATTCTAAACATATCTCTTCAAAAGGAGATTCATATTCACCAACCCTATCACTTCTTATCATTTTGATTTTCTTGTTAAGTTGCATTTCAAATTTATTTTTGTATTGCTTTAATGCATCTACTGCTTCATCTTTACTATTAAATAAGTAAACATAGAAATATCGAGTACTGTCATCAATAAAATTTATGAAATACTTCTTTCCATCGCGAGATGGTATTGACTTCATGTCGCAAATATTTGTGTGAATTAAGTCTAAAGGATTTGAATTCCTTTCAACTGACTTATAAGGATTTTTTATATTTCACATATATTTGACATTTTGATTTGTCGCATTTACACTTAGCCAATACTTCCAAATTAATCATTTTTCGCAAGGTTTTATAATTGCCATGTCCCAAACGTATATGCCATAAATCATTTGACTCAAGTAAGTAAGAAGAAGTTGAAATTTTATTATTATTAACAACCATTATATTCATCTTAAAAAAGCCCTCAGTAAGGTAATCTTTTCCTAAGTACATCTCATTCTTACTTATTCCAATTTTGTCTGAAACAAAAATACATTTAAACTTGTTCTTGACGAGAAGTGAAATAGAAACTAAGTTCTTCCTTATTTCAGGAACATGACAAATATTGTTCAGAGTCACCACCTTGCCAGACATCATCTTCAAGAATATTTTTCCATAACTTTCAATTTTGGTCGTTGCAAAATTTCCCATAAAAGTGGTCTCGTCGGGTCCAGCGGGAGCATATGAAGCAAATGCTTCTCTAACAGCACAAACATGCAGGTAGCTCCAGAATGAATTCACCACTCATTAGGATTTCGCACTTAGTTGCATTCAGACAACATAACGCACAAGTCATCAATATCATCATTTGTTTCAACCATATTTGCTTGACCTTTTTTTTCTCTTTCTTTGGAGTCTGCAGCTTTGTGTCCAACCTTTCCACAGTTGTGGCAGTTTCCCTTGAATTTCTTCTTGCTAGGATAGTTGTTTGATCCAAAAGACTTCTTCCTTTTTTCGGATTAGTTGGAACAGTCTCAACAATATTTGCTCCCATAATTGTTGAGTTCCCACATGTCTTCTTTTCTGCAGCTTTATTTTCCTCTTTGATCCTCAATCGAACAATGAGATCTTCAAGTTTTATCTCCTTGCGCATGTGTTTCGAGTAGTTCTTAAAGTCCCTCCATAAAAGAGGCAATTTCTCAATCATTGCTGCAACTTGTAATGCCTCATTGATGACCAAACCTTCAATGAAAAATTCGTAATTAGCAACTAATTTAATACTTTCAACAAAAGCATTAATTCAGATTATACCTTCAGTAAGGAGATCATGGATAATAACTTGCAACTCTTGAACTTGGGTAATGACAGGCTTGCTGTCTACCATCTTGTAGTCCAAAAATTTGGCTGCAACAAATTTCTTCGAACCGCCATCCTCAGTTTTATACTTCTTTTCCAACGCATCCCATAGTTCTTTAGAAGTTTCTGCATTACTATAGACGTTGCAAAGATCATCTTCCAGTCCGCTAAGAATGTAATTCTTGCACAAGAAATCTGAGTGCTTCCATGCCTTACTCATAATAAAACGTTCATTATTAGGAGTTGATTCCGGTAGAACCGAAATGTCCTCCTTGATAAACTTCTATAGACTCAAAGTAGTCATATAGAAGAACATCTTCTGTTTCTAACATTTGAAATCAATCTCGAATTTTTTTTCGTGTTTTTCCGCCGGAGCCGGTGGTGGCACAGAACAACTGAAAGTAGCAACATTGCTCATAGAGCCAACCACGGGGATTCCTATTTCTGTAATTTCTGTTAATCACAAACAGAAAAAAATTAACTAACGGTGAAGTATAAATTAGAGGTCTGCCTAGCACTCTCCGACCCCTCGAAAGTGCTATGAGATGAAGATGCCTCATCCCTAAGCTGGAATCGCCCATGTGGCCTAGACTTTGTGGCTGTTTGCTCCTCCTGAATAGAGGCTGAGTAGATTCCCTAGACGAGACATAGGATCTAGACTCAGAGAGGTCTGCACCTCTTCCTCTGCCTTCTTTGGCCTTATTCCTAATTGTTTTGGGTTAGCCAAGGGGCAATGTACCTCAACCTCGACCCCTAGAAGATTCACCTTTTCCTTTTGTAGTGTCGCCATGACCTCGAGATCGAACCATTGTTTGTATCAAAGTAAAGAAGAATTTTAGTTGCAAGTCTTCACTCAACACATTCAAGACTTATGTAGGCAAGGGAGAACATTATGGACATAGTGAGGTTACGAAAAAACAACTGGCTGTAGGAATTGGGTTCTGCGGTTCGCACATTTTTTATGTGCAGCCGAAGAATGGAAGTGCGGCCCGCACAATTGCAAGTGCAGCCCCACTTCAGACAATCAAACTTTGAAGGCTCAAAATCCTCTCTGAAGACAGTGCGATGCTTGTTTTGTGGCCACAGGATAAATCTGCGGTCCGCACATTTTCAGTTGTGGCCTCCTTGAGGTTTCTACGGTCTATGTAATTAAAGCGTGGCCACAGTGCACTTGCTGCACTAGGTCACCCAAAACTCCTAATTTGCGGACCGCACTAATTTAAGTGCGGTTACAGATTTATAAAACAACATACATGCAATCTTTTCTACTTAGATTTTTCAATTACTTGCACAAATTGACATGGTAACATGGTATAGACATGAAATCTTATTAACCCAACCCGTGATGGCCTATATTATCAATTACCATGTTCAGATCTACCCCACATAGACACATAGATGAACTCTAATAACAGATGGCCTAAAAAGAAACTAAAATTTTTAAAATTAAACTAAAACAAAAATTTAACATGAAATAAAGCACACCAGATAGATTGAATGCACTGGTGTATAAGCACAAGTGGTTGTGTGTGGGGGCAATGAAAGTTTCTCAAGAAACTTGCAGAGTAATAGTGATTCTTAGGAGAGGGAAAAATGTAAAGTGAACTCAAGTTTCCTATTTATGCTAAAAATCCTAAGAGGGAAAAGGGTTGAGTGAGGCCGCAGATTTCCATGTGCAGTCCGCACTCTGTCATCTGGGCCAGCCGTCTCTAATCTTAATATGCGGTCCACACATTTTTAGATGTGGCCGTAGATATCACTTGCGTTCGTATATTAGCCTTCACACTGACAAGCCAAACGTCAGAGAGTTAACATTTTTACATTTTTGCAAGATTCTAATTATGTGGTCCGCACGAGAAATATGCGGTCGCGATTACCCTCCTATTGTGGCACACCAAAATGTGCATTCTGCACAAATAAAGTGCGATCGTGCGAACTGTAGATCCTTGAACACTTAGCTATTTTTTAGTTCACCCTTGTTACAAGTCACATTAAACCCTGTAGCAGACTTCAAATCAAAGTAGAACACAAATAACACCTAACTGCAAAAGAAAAAGGGAAAGAACATGGGTTGTCTCCCAAGAAGTGCCTGATTTAACATTGCAGCACGGTGCAAAATACCCTCAAGTGAAGTAAATGACCACCACCACATGGTTATCTCCAACCTTGCCCAAGTAGTGCTTCACCCGGTGACTATTGACTCGGAATACTTCATTATTTTTATTCTTCAAGTCTAATGAACCAAAAGGTGTCACACCAACAATTACAAATGGACCAATCCACTTGGATTTTAGCTTCCTGGAAAACATTCTCAACCTTGAGTTAAACAACAATACAAGATCACCCACCTTGACCTCTTTGTTCCAAATTTATTTCTCATGAAGATATTTTATCTTTGCTTTATACAAGGACGAACTCGCATATGTATGGTACCGGAACTCATCTAATTCATTAAAATGTGCAACCCTCAAGTTAGCGGCTACATCCCAATCAAGATTCAACTTATTTAGAGCCCACATTGCCTTGAGCTCTAGTTCCGCCTGAAGATGAAAAGCTTTCCCAAAAACCAAATGATATGGAGACATTCTGATAGGTGTTTTGTAAGCAGTCTGATAAGTCCATAACGCATCATCAAAATTCTTGGACCAATCCGTCCGATTAACATTCACCGTTTTAGACAAGATGCTCTTTATCTTTCTGTTGGAGATTTCCACTTTCCTACTAGCTTGTGGGTGATAGGGAGTCGTGACTTTGTGAGTAACACCATACTTGCTAAGCAAAATGTCAAAAGCTTTGATGTAAAAGTGTGACCCCCTATTGCTTATGATTGCACGTGGAGTAACAAATCTTGTGAAAATATTCTTTTTCAAGAAGGCCACTACAGTTCTCGCCTCATTGTTGGGTAAAGCGATGGCCATAACCCATTTGGACCTATAATCCATTACGGCCATGATGTAGGTATTTCCACAAGAACTCACAAAATGGCCCATGAAGTCAATGCCCCAAACATAAAAAATATCAATCTCCAAGATCGTTGTGAGATGCATTTCATTTTTCTTTGAGATTCCACCGGCTCGTTGACATTCTTTACATCTTTTCACTAACTCACTAGGGGTCCGCCACTTGGTTTTCACTGCCTTTCCTATCTTAGATCTCATTATCAAATACTTGTAACAAGAGTACCTATCTCATCAACCGAGCTTTGGAGTCCTTTTTTCTCATAAGATATCGAAGCGTCGCATGGTCCGCGTGGACAATAACTTTTGCACCCATCAATTATGGGCGGAACTTCTCAATTGCAAACACAATAGCAAGGAGCTCTTTCTCCATATGGTATAGTTTACTTGGGCACTATTCATGGTCTTACTAGCGTAGTTGACCGGATGGAAAATCTTGTTGATACATTGACCCAAAACAGCCCCAACCGCTACGTCACTTGCATCATACATGAGTTCAAAAGGCACACTCCAATTTGGAGCGCTAATGATGGGGGTAGTTGTCAACTTGAGCTTCAACAATTCAAAAGCTCTCGTACAATCGTCATTGAAATTGAACTTGGCATCCTTCTCAAGGATCTTGCACAACGGGTTCACCACTTTAGAGAAATCTTTGATAAAGCGCCGGTAAAAACCCGCGTGGCCTAGGAAACTCCGCACACCCTTCACCAAAGTTAGGGGTGGAAGCTTAGAAATCACCTCAATCTTTGCCTTGTAAACTTCAGTTCCATTTCTTGAGATTTTATGGCCAAGGACAATACATTCCTCAACCATGAAATGGCATTTCTCCCAATTGAGCACCAAGTTGGTTACTGTACATCTAGCCAACACTTTGTCCAAATTTGCAAGACAATCATCAAAAGAATCCCCAACCACTGAGAAGTCATCCATGAAAACTTCAAGGTAGTTCTCCGCCATGTCCATGAAAATAGCCATCATACACCATTGAAAAGTTGCTAGTGCATTGCACAAATCAAATGGCATTCGCTTTAAGTACCATAGGGACATGTAAAGGTTGTCTTCTCTTGATCTACCGGAGCAATGAGAATTTGATTGTAGCCAAGTACCCATCAAGAAAGCAATAGAAAGCACGGCTGACCAATCTATCGAGCATTTGATCTAAGAAAGGAAGTGGAAAATGATCCTTCCATGTTACTTTGTTGAGCTTGCGATAATCCATACACACCCTCCAACCAGTCACCGTTATCATTAGAATCAATTCATTCTTACCATTGGTAATCATCATCATGCCCCCTTATTTGGGACACATTGAACCGGAAAAGTCCATGAACTATCGGAGATGGGGTATACAACCCCGGTATCCAACCACTTGATAATATCCTTCTTGACAACTTCTTACATAGCATCATTGAGTCTTCTTTGATATTCAATAGATGGTTTAGTGCCATCATCCAACTTGATCTTATGCGTGCAAAAGGCGGGGATTATACACCGAATATCCGCCAAGGACCACCCAATAGCCTTTTCCTTTTTTGTAACACCGCCAATGTGGAATCTACCTGCACGTTAGTCAAAAAAGAGGAAAGAATAACCGGTAAAGTAGAACAAGGGACAAGAAATTAATACCGAAGGTGTGGAGGTAATGGCTTCAATCCAAGATCTGTGGCTCTTCAATAGAAGGCTTTGTAGGAGGAGTCTTCCTATTTTTAAGATTCAAAGACAATTTTCAGGGTGCATAGTTGTACGACCACATTCCTTGCAAAAAGTTCACACATTCCATAAAACTATCCATCTCGTCATCATCAAAGTTGAGCAAGACGGCCTCCAACATATGACCAACATTGATAGTAGCACTTGTATCATCAACAACGACATCGGTCACCAAATCTACAAAAGAACACACCTCATTGCTATTTGGTTGCCGCATGGACTTACACATATGGAATACCACTTTTTCATCACCAACCTGGAAAGTGAGTTCTCCGGCTTTAACTTCACAAAGAGCCTTACCCGTAGCAAGGAAAGGTCTCCTAAGAATAATTGGCACTCCATAATCAACTTCACAATCTAGAATGACAAAGTCTGCCGGAAGAATGAATTTATCAACCCAGACCAAAAAAATTTCAATCGCACCCAATGGTGTTTTCATGGTACGATTGGTCGTTTGCAATCTAATAGAAGTGGGTATTGGTTGCCCAACCCCTAAATTCTTGAAAATATAGGGCATCAAATTTATACTTTCCCCAAGATCATAAAGAGCTTT